TCAAAGAGAGTTGGGGAAGGATCATTCCATAGGCCCGTTCTGTCAGGGTCGAATGGTGTGGCATGCGTATTTGATCGAGTGTTTGGTGCCCGTGAGACTGAAAGAAGGATTTGATTACCGATGTCAGAAAAGATGGTTATGGAAAGCCTATCATGACAGCGTTTATCACAGTTCAAGTGTGGCTGCTTGCTCTTGCCTTTCCTTGTCCAAGTGCCAGCAGAAATTATGTGATTTTTACATATTGCAATGGCCATACTCGCAAGTCCTTATGATTATCTTTCGAAAAGGAATTTGTCCATGGATTTGAAATGCTCTATAATAAGAACAAAAGAACTGCAAAATTATTGTCATTGTAACTGGAGACATGAAGTTGACTGAACCTGGATAAATGGTTTGTCAGATAACTTAGTCTGAACCATGTATTATGAGAATTAGCCACCATGTAAATAGTGTGCGTTACCATGTATTATAACGATTATTCATCAGATAAATGGTGTGTTAAACTGTTAACCATGTGTAAGGATTAACGACCAGGTAGATGATGTGTTCACCATTTGTCATGAGGATTAGTGAGCAGATAAATGATATGTTGACCATACTTTGTGACGATTTTCCACAGACAAATGCTACGCTAGACTATGCATTATGAGAATTAGTAACTAGGTAAATAGTAGTACTGAGTCTATACATTGGACCCTATGGGATGAGGATTTAACCACCGTGATAATGGGGCATCGGACCGTGTATCAGTTATCAACCAGAACTATGACTAATATCACGGATAATTATGAAGCTTATTCATAAACTTAATTGTACACCCAAATATCATGTGGATACTGGATGACTTATACATGACTTATATTTCTTTCATTTCATTTTACCTTTTGTATGATACTTATATCACAATTTAGCTGTCAAGCTCACCAGCATATAAGGAAAACACTTCCAGATTATCGTGAGGCTCACAATACCAAGGAGCAGCTTGATGAACAGTTCTATAAAGTAATACTAATTCATAGTTCCGTGTTTTAGACCAATGAAGTAAATACTCCATTAAGAAGTGCAAAAAGACTGTTTTTATATCATTCTGGAAAAATTGAAGGCTCTTACTTTTGTAATGTTTTAGACAATTGATCTTGAATGTTTAAAAGAATGTATGGAGAATTCTTCATTGTGAAATCATGGTCATGCTCAATTAAGATTTCAAGATCGTTATGTGGTAATTTTCTTTATGTATACGTTTACACGACTGAAATAAGGATCTTGCCTTACAGCAGCTTGAGGGTTGTGGCAGCTGTCCCTACTGTATAAATTTCGTGGGGTGTTAAATCAAGTCCCTAGAAATATACTACAGTGATTGAATCACTGGTTGCTATGAATAAATGTGAGCATGACCATGATCAAGAACAAAACCAAATTACTGAAGACTGAAGTTATTAAAAAAGATTTATAACTACAAAATATTACTCAGTATATACTAAATAAGAAAACTAAAAGAGTAAAGAGTTGGGGCCTCGGCCACTAATGAAACTTAAGGAGCTAAGACATTAAGAAAAGATCTGTTTTGCTGATTAATGATTCCTAGTTTAGTGTTCTGCAGACAACAAGAAACCCAAGTGCATGGAAGGAGCAGAGAGAACAAGTGCGTCCTTAGTCAAAGATACAAAAGTGAAATACAATCACCCATAATTCATAGGTCGATGAAGCCGTACCAACCAATTTGCACCCAATGTAGAAAAAAACCATTTTGAGACCCATTATTACCCGTTTCAGTACCTAATAGAGCCAACATGTTATAAAATTCATGCAAAAAACCCATGTTGATTTAATGCAGAAAATAATTCTGAAAAACACGTATTATCTTCTTTACATTAAGCGTTATTTAATGCTAGTTAATTGAGTTAAATTGGTGAACAAATTTGGACGTGTGGCAATAAATCCACTGTCCAAATCAGTATCACACTAAACCAAACAAGTTCCCAATGAAATTCCCCAACCCCAATTTCATTTGCGTGAAAACCCTAACGACCCCTCACCCCATCTCTAGCGCCTCCTCCAACTCCTCCCCCTCCTCCACCTCCTCCTCTCATGCCTTCGACGAAGAAGAAAACCTCTCGATCTCTTCTACCTCTCACGCCTTCGACGAAGACAAAGACTCTCACCAACGACAAGGCTCCACTGGTCCTCTATTTTCGTGGATGAAAAGATTGCTCTCTGGTTCCTCCTCAGATCTCACATCTCCTCTTGCCGACGAAGAAAACCCTAACTCCATCTCCACCTCCACCTCCAACACTTCTCTAGCTTCAAAATGCTAACTCCTCTAGACGAAGACAAATGCCTCTAAACCCTAACTCCTTTAACTCTTCTAGTCCTCCCCCATGTTTAGAATTTCGATGAGTCTAATTATTAAAGTCATTATGAATAATTTATATTTATAAAGCATCTACATAAGTAATAAACAACATAACCTATGTTATACGTTACGGTTTTTTTAGTTAACCCTTAACAAGAGGTAGAGCGTTAGGTTATACATTATCGCTATTTTCAACATTGCTACTATCACTCAATTAAAAAGCTGGATGGAATTCATTGGAGAATTATCTTCTCATTTCCAACAAGACCAATTCTTCCTATAGAATTTGGTTATGCATTATCGCTATTTTCAACATTGATACTGTCACTCATTTAAAAAACTGGATGGAATTCATTGGAGAATTATCTTCTCATTTCCAACAAGATCTATTCTTCCTATAGAATTTTTACTTTTGACCTCCCTAAAAAAACAAAAATTTATAAGTAAAACATAGATCTTTAATCAATTACTAGAAAACTCAGACTACAATATATTTTTATATGAGACATTGAAGCGAAAATCAGATGAAGCCATATACTCTTGTTGATTTAGAAATCATGTTGAACATCAACACTGACCTATTACATGCATGTTTATAGTCCACAATCGAAGATCCTTGAGTAAACGCAGCCGATAACTCGGATCTCCATATGTAATCTGTAATGGAAAGTAAGATTCAGAGGATCTTTAGTACAGACGCATTTCATTTTCTTAGGATGCAAAGAGCACAAAGTTCTAAAAAGATCTATAAACTTGAATGACTAAAACAGACGTTCAACATACCAGTATGTAGACTCCTTTGTCCTTGAGAATCCTGGTAGAGTCAACATAAATGTATTTCTTTATGAAAAAGATGGGGAAAACAAAGGATCACTAACCACATGCACTTGAGATTGTTACCTGCCTATCTCCTCCAGCATCTTCTTTGCATTGGGTTGTGCATCATGTCCACACTGTATGCGAGTAATACCACCACTAATCAGCTCACTATTATGAGAGAAAGTGTTAAGGTATAAGTGCACTCACCATTAGAGAGTCTAAGGTTCCTGGGCAGAGAAAATGAACAATTTAGTACAGAGCATATCTCAGAACTTTTGTTGGTTCAGTCGTCAAATTAAAAACAAACAAGAAGATTAAAAAAACATAAGAATTAGTACCTTTATCAATGACAGCATCAAAAGAACTGGATTCAAATCCATTCATATCTCGAACATCCATCTTAATATCTACCACACCGTTAAAGAAGACAAAATATAGAAGAAGTCAGGATGACTTATTACTATCATTATAGATGGAGAGTTGGATACACTTCATTTCTGGTCTACCCTGATACTTCTGTTGCATGGCTTCAACAACCACTGAAGATATATCTATGTTGACAACATCCTGGTAACCATCACCAACCATTCCTTCCCCAAGTGCTGTTAAATTTTAACCACAACTACATTCATATTAGAATAAATGCAAAAAAGAGAGATACAGACAATTGACAAATCATGCTACTCGAACAAATATTAACAAGCTATGCTCTTCATATCTTTAAAATGACTAACGGGAATAAGTGGCAAATACACACAGAGACAGATACATATACATACAAGCTCGAATTACAAAATAAGAACCATGCAGCAGCGGCAGCAGCAGCAGCAGGTGCATTCCTCACGAGCATCAATTGATGTCAGACAAGGTAAACAGTTTTTGAATGTCTATATAAGCAAGTCACAAGTCACAGGTAATATTCAGTTCTATAAGTGAGATAGATCTGGAGAACTCACAAAAGGAAGGAAATTATATAATTGCAATAAATAAAGAAACCCAGAAGAACCACTAGTGTCGATGCAGTTAAACCTACAACAATGTGATCAAACTATGAAATCCAGGACTGAGATCGCAGATTAGCTATCAAATTATAATTCCACGATCATCATATTTAAGAAGGAATTAACTTTAAAGCTAGGAGGATGATAGTTTGTGAACTTAATTGGTAGATTCATATGAAGATCTGAAATCAATCATTGTTTGATGCAGAAAATTTTAAGCTATTAAATGGGAATCATTATGGTCATTGTTTGGTGAACTTACTAGGTTCAGATTTGGAAGGTTGGGCTGAAAATTTTCATTTGTAATTGTAACCATGACAATTAGCATTCCCCCAATTAAGCTATTAAATGGGAATCATTATGGTCATATGTTTGTTAACTAGTATTTTATCCATAAAAGCAAAACCCCATGTTATCTTCATGTAATGAAAAAGAAGACAAAAAGAGAGACTTTCCCTCACACTCATTCCAGTCATTCCATAATCTTCAAAAACTTCACTTCCTTCCTTCATCAGGGTATTGTTTTACAGTTGGAGATCAACCCCCATTGACATTCATGTACTAGAGGACCGTCGGTAGAGATGAGTTTGTACTCCTTTCTTTGACTGGCAACACGAGGTTCCCATTAGGGCAGTGACTATGCGCCCACTCTGAGGCCAACAAAATCTTATTTCATTAATTGTTTATTGGTATGTTATAGGTGCCTTTCCTTTAGAGCTAAATCTCGAACAATCTGAAAGATATACTCACATAATATTTTGGCTACCACATCCTATCCCAAGAAATAAAATCGTATAAACTGAACGTACCGACTTTCGTGACTTCACTCTCGGATATTTTCTCTTCATGATCCTAGTGTTTGCAATGATGATATGTTGATACGTTGCTTTTATCACATTTTGTTTTGATCCTTCGATTCTAATACTAGATCTTGATACGGATTGAGATTGGTTTCTTGCATTATGATTCTTATGATCTTGATCTATTTTTGCTTGTTGATCCATTTGTGTTGAACTTGTGTGATTAGTTCGATAATTTGATTGACTGCATGGATGTGTTACCGTGATTCCAAAAACTTTGTCTATTTTGCATAAATTGAACAAAATGTTGAATACTTGTGATGGATAATCTATATTACTTTCAGAATGAGATGATTTTTTTAATGATTATTATTCTTTGGTTGGAAAGTTGGAGGTTTAGATTCAAATAATCACTTGATGTATGCTAATTTAAATGTTGTACTTAATTCCATGTTTTATTTATCAATGGTATAAATCTATTTATTGTACTTCACAGTTTCCGAAATCAAGACATACATCTGGATGTACGCAATTGTTTTGATTGCTTCATTTTCTAGTATGGATTTTTTTTAAATTACTTCAATTAGGTAGGTATATTTTGTTTAGCAATCCAACGAATTTTCAATGTTTTGGCAAATTAAAGTTTTGGATTTGGATAATCACTTATAGCATGCTAATTTAAATATTGTAGTTTATTCCATGTTTTATTTATTAATGCTATAAATCCGTTTGTTGTACTTCACAATTTGCAGAATCATAACATAGATCTAGATGTAAGCAATTGCTTTGATTAATTCATTTTCCAGTTTGGATTTTTTTTAAAATTATATTTTAATTATGAAAGTATATCTGGTTTAGCAATCCACCCAATTTCCAATGGTCTTATTTTGGGGAAAAACTTTTGACCAAATAATTTGTTCTTATAACTGTATATAGAGTATATAGATGACTCATATTTATCTTCATACTTCGTATAGTATCTGGTTGTCCGTATAATGGATTCATTAATTGTAAATTGCTCCAACAACTAATAATGAATTCATACGCTCTACTCAGCTCAGTTTTTTATGACTAGAATCGTAAAGGAATAACTTGTGCAATCTGATTCTTGGCCAACACAAGTTTGATATACATCTAGAACATTATTATCTGCTTTTAGACGAATTTTGCAAATTAGGATTGACAATATTTGTTACTTTTCCGATAATAGCTTGAGCATTCATTTTCTCACAACTTTTAAGGCACCTCCTATTTCTATGGAGGAAATTAAAGAAATTAAATACTACAGGTACTTCTTACTTATTATTATTATCTATAGTGCTTAAATTCATAGAGATTAATGTATCAGCTCTTTTAACTTTCTAATTGCTTCACTAAAGCATTGGAGGAATTTTCTCCATGATCAAATAAGTGATCCGAATCTCAAAGAAAATATATGGTGCAAACCTGTAAAGTCAAGATAATTAGCACCTATTTGTATATGATTCGTCCATATATCTGTTTACATAACATTTCTTGACACTGATGTAGTAAACCATGTGCTTATGGACATTAACTAAACAGTTTAAGGATCAAACTCATTTAAAGTATAATATAAAGGAGAAATAACATGCATAAATTTGTACCTTAAGTCATCTTAAAATGTGATTTAAGCTTTAGGGTGATTCTTTCTTGGAAAAATAGATAAAATTGAAAGATCGTGGTCTCTTATAGCTATATTTTATCATATTGTGGTTGTTTATGATTCAATAAGGATTTAATTTTATTCTTGTTGAAGTCTCATGATGAACTCAAAACAGAATGCTATTATTGAGCTTGACATTGATACAAGTTGGAGTGAGCATATAAATTGGTCAGTTGTATCTAATTTATTTAATTTATTTGAGAATGATGATGGCCTTTACAATAACATACCATAAGTACTTTCATGAACAAGTTTAGACAATTTGATATCCTGTGTCATGCTAACACATCACATATCGATGTAAACCTTGTTGTGTGACTCTAAGCATTTACAAATATTAGCAAGTTACATGCACTGTGGCATATATTATCTATGCATGTATGCATGCATGATCGTTGACTTGATAAACACTAGATTATTCAAACAATATCAAAATAATGATGATTTACATAATGAGCACATGGTATAAGAAAATTTCGAGATAATCTTGGAAGTTCTCATTTGCAGGCAACCAACTTGCATGCATTATATGACCTGCACATGTTTTTTAATCTTCTAGCATCATCATCATCATTTATTCTAATAAAAGTGAATACATAAAATTATCAATAATTGTGCATTCAATGGAAATATATAGGAAGAGCTTACTACATTCAGAACGTTACTAGCATGCATATTTTCTATATCTAAGTTTGCTTATGAAGCAACAATAAGCATAATTAAATTTTACTGACTTTCTTAATATTAAATTATATTTTGTCTCTTGCAGATGTGATATGTTTCTCACATGTTAATTTTTACATTGATGGGTTCTTATGCTCTAAATGGTAATGAAAAATATGAAATGGCTTCTAAGCCATTTATGGCCTTGCATTTTTCAAAGTCCTATTTAATAAAGGGTCAGTCTAGGAGCGTAGTTATAGACTCATTAATGAGCCTTGGTTATGCGCATAAAGGAGGTTACCAACAACAAGAAATTCAACCTATCTCAAAGGAAGTTGTTTACCATAAAGAAGGCTCAATGTCATCGAAACAGGTTGGACCAGCTCTTCTCAGGGAACACACATTTGAGATACACCCATATCAATAATACTTATATTTGCAATATATTACCTATGACCTCATACCTTATGAGATGGTAGGTTGAGGTTATGCTCTTTATAGTTCCTAGACACAAATTGTCAGCGAAGCATACTAATCACAGATACATTTTAAGGAATTTACCTATGTGGGAGGAGCAGTGAAGATCATAGTTGTGAGACTCAGTCAGATCCCTGGAAATTTTCATGGAATAGTATGTGAGCATGACAATCAATGTTATAGAACGCGTTGGGTGCCAGATAGACGCCAAGCACCCAAGCACCTGGATAAATGCCTAAGCGGACCCTAGGCGAATTTTTTTATTTAAGTGGTGATGGAGGAGATTTTGCTAAAGGTCGAAGGAGGTATTCATAGTCGATGCAGGAGAGGTTAGAGAATGTGGAGGCGACAGCAGGAGGAAATCACAATCAAAACCTAAGCGGTGTAATCCGCGGAAGCGGCCATGCCCTTATGCTCACCCAAGACATATGCAGGTAGTTTAGGTTCCACTTAGGCTTAGGCGGGCGCCTAGGCCGTTTTTTAAAACATTATTGACAACAACGTTCCACCTTGCAATCTAATATTGTTGCATTCTATGCGTGCTTTTGTCAATAGTTGGTAAAAGGGCTCAATAGAAACCCTACTTCATTATTCATTACGTCCCTTGCAATGTGGTAATATAACGTTAACTTGAATAAAACTTCTAACCAAACCAAAATCTCCAAACAACATAATCCTGATCAAACTAGAATTTCTTCTCCAAAGTGATCCTCAAAAACATAACGACAACATATCCTCTAAATGAACTAGAATTTTTCTCACTAACTACTACTCTACCATACATATCCTAAGACCACATAAATATAAATGCCAATTGTTTGCTTCTTTTCTAATGGCCAGGACTTTGCTCCCTAGATATCTATCATAGGTTTCTCTGCATCAGCAAAATCATACGCCTATTTTCCTCCATATATCTTTTCTGTCATCTTAGTTTAATAAACGTTATCACTAAAACAAAATGGTAAATTTCATTTGTGGCTAGCATTAAAATTCCAGATATTATAGTTCTCATACCACTCTCATTCAGAGAGTTTGAAGCACATGAGGAAATAATTTATTGCTTGAGGTGCTCAGCTATAAATGGGATTATCATGTTCAAAAGAACATCTTCGCAAAGGCATAAATACCACTTGGATTCTTTAGGAAGAGTGCCGTGAATAGCATTCATTAAACCAAATCTCGCGGGGGTAAAAGTATCCATGCCGTACATTCAGCTCGCCGCCCTCGTGCTCAACCCAAATGCCTGTACTTGAGGATATCATCACAACAACACACGCTGCTTGTCAATCTACTCGGAATGTTTATGTAGGATCTACCAAACATTTTAAAGCGGGAAAAGTTGCAAATTTAGTCTACAAAGGACTCACCCCTCCATGAATTAGTCTACGTAAATAGAATCAACATTCATAACTATCAAAAGTTAAATCCAAACCACGGATTGAAACCCCTAACCCCAATCCACTAACGAATTTCACAAAAATCAAGTAAAATCGCGATCACATTCTTTAAATAAGAAAACCCTGGGACTGACTTGAATTGCCGCATCCAACGAGGAGAACGCGATGAGATCTGCGGATGTATAGATCAAGGAGAGGAGCTAGGGTTTTGTACTTCTGGTACCAATCGAAGGGCCCCGGATCCTGACGGTATCTGCTGTCCCAATACGCCGGCTCTCCGTACGCGTGCTGCGTCGTCGTCGTCGATCCCAGCGTCATCTCTCTATCTGCAATCAAAATTCGCCCGCGCTCTTGAGCTCGGCCCCTATCTCTCCCCCTGCCTGAGCCTGAAGGGATCTGGGGGTGTTCCCGTTGCTAGGGGTGTGCACATGGTCGGTTCGCTTTGGTTTTTATCAAATTTTGAATGACCGAACCGAACCGTCCATTATTCAAAATGAACCCAACCGCTCATTATTTAAAATCGAACCGAACCGTTTGGAAATCGGTTCGGTGCGGTTCGGTTTGTCAGATCTAACTTCATCAAACTTTCAGACAGCATGAAATCCATCATTGCATTTTTCACGATCAAATTTTAAGATCACCGCTCCTGCAAAAAATAATTGAAGAGAAGTGATTTAATGCATTCAATAGCATGCTCTCGGACACGAGCCTATTCGAGATCAAATAGCTCAGATCTTAAGAGGTAACAGTAAAGATCGCACAAAAAACACAAGATTACAACCAAATCCGGATTGTAGATCTCAAAAGAAGGAAATGGAACTCTAATTTCCTTCTCCTGAGATAAAAATATATAGAAATTATCCAATAAATCCGAGCAATCAAGATCTAAGCCAGATGAAACCATGATCCTCTATTATAGAACAAAAAAGATCTCGAAATCATCAAAAAGAATCGAGCAACAATCAACGTCTCCAGATCTCAATACAAGCCAGAAAAAAAGAAGATTAGATGATTACCTATCGTAGTAATCATAGTGACGATCTCGCCAAGCTTGAGCTTGTAGATGATCGTGGTTTTACCAGCGACATCGAGACCGACCATCAAGATCCTCATCTCCTTCTTCGCAAACAAGCAGCTAAACAACTTCCCAAACGCCAACCCAATCGTTGTCTCTAATCTCAGATCTAGACAGAGAAATTGCAGATCTAAGAACTAGAGAGGGAGGGGAATTGAAGAGATCTGGAGATCTACAGATCTTTAGAGAGAGTAATCTTTACTTTTTGCTTTGCTTCGATTTGCGGGAGTTATGAAGGGAGGAGAGAGAGAAAGAGTGCACGGGAGACGGAGTCACGGAGGGGAGAATTTGGGATTTTATATGAACAACACGGGTCGGGTAATAAAATGAGAGTATGAGTTAGCGGTCGGTTCGGGCTGAAAATTTTTCAACCCGATCCAAAACCGACTGAGAGTTAAAACCGAACCGAACCGTTAATCTTCGGTCGGTTAGGTCGGTTTTTTCGATTTGGACCGAACCGTGCACACCCCTACCCGTTGCTTTGTGTTGGTTATTCTAGTTGTGGGGCGGGCTTGAGGATATTTTGGACATTTCGCCCATGGGACGGCAGTCGAAGTAATGGGCTTTACATGGGCCTTCATAACCTATTCATGTATTGGGCTGGGGCTTATCAGAGTGGCTATAAATTTTATTTATATTTATTCTAAAAATAAATGTAAGCTCTAGATCGTCGTTGGGCTGAATTCTCGCGCAGGAATACGAAATACACTGAAAATAATTCGTTGTGGAACCTTTGCAGGTACCAATGTTGTGCTTCTTACTTGATATTCAAAATTTCATTCCGACATGATGACCCCTGTCTTTAATAAGGGAAAAAGCTTGCAGTCAATGTAGCGTCGGAGCTTGGGTTCGATTTGTATACAAGCTCAAAATTTAATATTATATTCGTAATACGCAAAAGGAAATTATGACATTCTTTGCTGTGAATTGCAACAAAAAACTGTAAGTCTCTAAAAGCTCCAATATTTTTTGTATCTTGTAGTAACAACATAATTTATAATGGGTTTTTTTTAGATATTAATCCCTTAAATCTTAAATAACTGCATGTTCGTCCCTCTAATCTTGAAAATTACATATAAGTACCTCAAATCTTACGCAACGGTGCAATATGGTCCTTCTAATACACGATAGATTCGAGGGGAATATTCGATTTTCAAGATTCGAGGGATCAACATGCAATTTTGGGGATGTAAGGGACTAATAATATCTAAAAACCCAATTTATAAATCCTTCGGGCTGACGCTCTTGAAACCATTTCGACCTAGGCCCAGTTGAGAAGAGCCAGCCCAAGTAGGCCTACTTCGCCCCCCACGAGGCCCAGTCGTACACTTTGCTTGCATTAGAACAGATCTCAACGAACGGAACTCTCAACTACCCCCTCTTTTTCTTCACTCTCACTCTTTCACCCAACTTACCAACCTACCGCTCAATCCTTCCTCTTTCCTCTCTCGCTCTCTCAAATCCCCATCATCTCTCTCTCAGATCTCAATCAATGGCGAGGAAGAAGATCAGGGAGTACGATTCGAAGAGGCTCCTCAAGGAGCACCTCAAGCGCATCGCCGGAATCGATCTCCAGATCCAATCCGCTCAGGTACTTGACTCCTTTCAATCTTGATCTCGTGATCCCGCATTGTTTACATTGTTATTTGTTCCTTTTGTTGATGCTGTAATGCTGTGATTCTTCAATTTGACACCTTTTTTTTTTAATAAATGAAGGATCTTTTTCTATATGTTAAGATTCCTCTGTTGCTTTTTTTTAATGCAGTTAATTTAGGGTACCCGACCTGAGAAGAATTTGGATATAGATTCATGAATCCTTGCGTTCCATGATTCAAATTGTCAAAATCCATATTGTTAGATATGCATCATGCGGCGTACAATATCTGATCTACCACCATAATCAAAATTACTGTATGGGTTTTACTCATTTGATGCGTGGCAAAATGTATGAAAAATATAATTTTTGATTTTTTTGGGGGTAAAGAAACCACATTTCCTATACTTCAATTACTTGTTTGTAGTTTTCTCATTACCCTTTTATTTGTTGCCATTAAAAGTATTTAGTTCATGAATTTATGACATGGTTGAGGAATAGTCATTGCAGTTTAGTCCAACATTGAGCAAATAGTTGAGTTGTTGAATATTAATATATGTTTATAGATCTAAGACCCAATGGTCTACTTTCCGTATCTCGTAGGAAATTTCTAAGCTGCGTATTCAACAATTACTTGGTCATCTGATTTTTATTATTATAAATCTTCATTCTTCTTACAGCTTAAATTGTTAAATTTTCTTGCCAACTTATGGCTAATCGTTCTTTGATGTTAATCACATAAGGTTACCGAGTCAACTGATTTCACTGAATTAGTGAACAAAGAACCATGGTTGTCATCTACAAAATTGGTTGTAAAGCCAGACATGCCTAGATCTGGCTCAGGTTTCAGAATTTGTGAAAGAGCGTCTTGGAAAGGAGGTGACTGTGAAATGCTGTGCAAATAATAAATAAGTATAATTCATATTACCATTTTGATTATTGAAAATAATATATTACAAAACTTTTCTTGTAGGTTGAAATGGGTGGATGTAAAGCCCCAATTACTACATTTATTGTTGAACCTTTTGTCCCTCATGACAACGAGTATTATCTGTCCATCGTCTCTGAGAGACTTGGCTGCACCGTCAGCTTCTCAGAATGTGGTGGGATTGAAATTGAGGAAAACTGGGACAAGGTATATGGTCAAATAATTGGATCAAACTTTCTTGGATATGTTCTTTTTCAATATGTTAATGTTTTATGTAATTTCCTGCTATGCAGGTTAAGACAGTATTTTTACCCAGTGAGAAACCCATGAGCTCCGAGGCATGTGCTCCATTGATTGCAACCCTTCCCCTTGAGGTGAACCATTTTTCTTTTAATCGGACATCCTTGTCCATAAAATCTTGCAAATTATGACAATGTTAAGATGCTATGTTTGCTGATTTGTAGTTTACTATATTCAGTAGCTTAAAGTCCTTTAGCATTTCTAAATTATACGTCCCATGTGTATTGTATCCTTATTTTCTTGAGGTTATAAATAATGGTGCTTTATGTCTTTTAACTGTATTTTTCAACTGTCAACGCAGGTGAAAGGTAAAATTGGGGACTTCATTCAAGGTGTTTTTTCAGTTTTCCAAGGTATTTCATGGTATCCATGTGAAATTTCTTTTTTGTAGAGGATCTGACTTATATCTACTGAGAAAGTTAAATGCTCACTTGTTAATGCTTTAGATGGCCAGATGTAAGTAACAGCTTTAGTTTTAGGGTTATTTAGTTATTACTTATTAGTCCCTCAAATTATCAGTAATTCCATATTAGTCCCTAAAATATCAATAATTATTCATTAGACCCTCAAATTCTAAGGGATCATGCAATTTGGTCCCTTGATGACCAAAAGTACCCCTTAGTTATGATTTCTTTCTTAAAATCCATCTTGTTGAAAAAGGGTTTTTGCACTTTGGTATTTTGAAATTTACACCTTATTAACTTTAATACCCCAAAGTTTTTTAACACTTTGATACCCTAAAGTTCACGCTTTTTAACTTCCATATCTTAAAGTTTTTCCTGACACTTTTGCTATGGCAAAGTTTATGCCTTTTTTTAGTTTTGATGCCACAAAGTTTTGGGTTTTGACACTTTGATGCCCCCAAACTTTACGGTAATATCAAAATTTAAAAATGTGTAAACAAAGTTAGAAAATGGAACCTTTGGGCACGAAAGTTGAAAAATATTTAAACTTTGGGGTATAAAAGTCTCAAAAAACAAAATTTTGGAGTATCAAAGTTAAAAAGGTAAAATTTTTGGCTATCACAGTGTCAAAAAAACTTTAGGATTTCAAAGTCTTAATGGATGCAAACTTTAGATAACCCTAAAAAAACATTAGTTGAGGGTCTTTTGGTAATTGAGGGACCAAATTGCAATAACCCTAGGATTTGAGGGACTAATGAGCAATTCCATAGATTTGAGGGACTGATATGGAATTATTGAAGATTTGAGCGACTAATATATAAATAACCCTTAGTTTTATTGTGCTGTTATGAGCATCCTGTCCTGGCTCTACAATGACAGGGGAATTTCTTCTCTGATTCTCACATATTTATGCTGGATAAAAAATATCAACCTACTAATAAGTGTACATGGCTTATTTGTGTCAACTTGATTTTCCATTGAGTTAATATCTTATAACTTTCCAAATGCAATTTTTTTCAGACCTTGATTTCACTTTCCTCGAGATGAACCCATTTACATTGGTAAATGGGGAGCCATACCCATTGGATATGCGAGGAGAACTGGATGATACAGCTGCATTCAAGAACTTCAAGAAGTAATTTCCCTGTTCTATAAATCTTTTATATGACTGATATTTGAATATTGCATTCAAGTTTGATTAAAAAGATTTGAAATATATAGGTGGGGAGACATAGAGTTCCCGCTTCCCTTTGGCAGAGTCTTGAGCCCAACTGAAAGCTTTATTCATGGACTGGATGAAAAGGTAGCAAACTAGAATCAGTTATACTCATTCTTTTCATTTTAATATTTTAGAATGTTTCTGTCACACAATAAGAAAGTTGGTCAGCATAAAGGATCCGCAAACCTGGTCCCAAATAGTCAGGACATGGTCTTTGCCATATTGTATTTATATATCATCGTTTCATTCTTAATTGCATGCATCAGGAAACTGCTCAAATTTGTGTTGTAGCTCAGAATAGCTGAGAATTCCAAGGTTATATTTTCTGTCAAAATAGTCTACAACTACTTCATTTCTTGATAGTATTTATCAAAATGAGGCCTGCATCAATTGCGCAACCGGTTCTTTGCTCAACTTCTCTTTGTTCAAGGCCTCACAGACGAGCTTGTGTTTTCTGGTTTTTTTTTCCTATATCCAGATAATTACATGTTGTTGTTGGTTTTTTTGTTTTTGTTTTGTTTTTGTTTTTTTTGTTTTTTGAGCCAGCCTACCTGAACCTTACCCCAAACCAAAGGAGGCAAACTACACGACTGGCTTCACTAAAGATGTTGATTTATAATACTCCTATGGTGCATGGAGACATGATAAGGACAAACTAAAATAAAATGACAAATACACTGCAGCTTTTTAGTTTCTTATATCTAAGTGATGCATGTAAGCTATAGATGAATCTACCTCGAAGATTCTCACGGAACTGAGCCAATGTACCTCATCTCAAGCTCCTTCGACCTGCTGTTGACCAAGTCTTGGTCTTGAATGTGGTTCAAATGACAACTCAGTTTGGTTCAGAACAGAGTGGATTTTTTCACTGATAAGCTAACATGACTTCTGAGCACATATGAATATATGTAGCTATTGTGTGGATGACTGTTACTGAGAGGGCAAGATTTTAGCTGCTTTTGGACTTAGCTCCATATTAGGTGATCCACATAAATTATAATGTAATATAGGTAAATTAGTTATAAATTGCTCTTAGTTGAACATAACCCATGAGACTTATTTCGAGCTCTTTCCAGCTGCTGAGACGAGTTCCAAATACCAAGTCTGTATCCCATATGACTTTCCCTAAATCCGAGCTTTTAATTTGGTTCTGAATGTGTAAAGCCCCTTTGTCACAAGTGCTGAAGGTAGCTTGGGTTATAAACCAATGTTTTTTAAATGTATCTATGATAGGAATGGTTGTTACTAGTAGTATTCTTTCCTTTTTTTTCGTGTGCGGAGAAACGCAGAGAAGGATGAGACCTCATAATTGAAAGCCTCAGCTACGTACAAATGGTTGTTAGTTGTTACTGAGCAGCAAGATCAAATTAGATTACAATTTTGATAATAACATCTGGAAGATGTTGAATGATGTACATGTTATTTTCTTTCTTATCATTACCTTACTTGTACACGTTCTTGTTTTCTATACTTGATTTGTTTGAAGTTGTTGGATTTGCAGATTTATATTCACTTAATGGTAGTAACAGTGAGAATCTGAGGATAAGTGAGCTGCAGCATTATCCTGTAACGGAAGTCTATTTTATATACAGATATATCTTACTGACACACTTTCTATATCAGACAAGTGCCTCTCTGAAGTTCACTGTCTTAAATCCCAAAGGACGGATATGGACTATGGTTGCTGGTGGTGGTGCAAGTGTCATATATGCTGATACCGTAAGTATTATGTAATTTTCTTCTGCATGTTACATACAGTGATGTTTCTTTATAAAATGTGTAATACAGTCATGGACGATTTCATTTTTATTTTGGTTGGGAAGAATGCACAGCCAATTTGTTTAGGTCATCAAAAGCCTGATTAAGCAGCAAAACAGTAACAGATTGTAGTAGATTAACTAGACTAAAGGACGTCATTATATGCCGTAAGGAAAAATTTACTTCCTGGGTTCATAGAATGCTAGTGAACCGTATTATAAACCCCTAGGTTCATAGAATGCTAGTGAACCATATTTTAAATCCCTAGGTTCATAGAATGCTAGTGAACCGTATTATAAACCCCTGTCACGATCCTATGTTAAGAATCTTTTGCCTTATATTTTTGTCCTCATTGTGTGACAGGTTCTAGCAATCCTTAATTTCTGTATGTGTATTATGATCCTTCACTCTTTGAAGAATGTGATGGTTCTAAAGGCCTGTAACTTGATCTGTATTTAGGTTGGAGATTTGGGCTATGCATCAGAGCTGGGAAACTATGCCGAGTATAGTGGTGCTCCAAACGAGGAAGAGGTATTGCAGTATGCCAGAGTTGTAATTGATGTAAGTTTTCCTGGATTTCCTCTTCTCCATTATGCGGATAGCTCTGATAAAATTGCCTATCTCACTGAAAATTTGGGTTATGACTTGGTGCAATGCAGTATGCGACTGCTGATCCTGATGGTCGTAAGAGAGCCCTTCTAATTGGTGGAGGCATAGCCAACTTTACTGATGTTGCAGCCACCTTCAATGGAATTATTCGGGCCCTCAGGGAGAAGGTTAGTCCATGAAATAGATACTTCTCCTTTTTGTTTTTGTTTGATTTTACTTAGTCTAAAAGTATTTTGTTTCGTGATATTTGCAGGAGTCCAAGTTAAAGGCCTCAAGGATGCACATATATGTACGAAGAGGTGGTCCAAATTATCAGACTGGTCTGGCAAAAATGCGTTCTCTGGGTGCTGAACTAGGCGTCCCCCTTGAGGTGAGCAACTGGTGTCTGCAATCTGTTCTTTAGAAATTTTTGCATAAAGTTTATAATAGCTTCTAAATGGTAGCTTTTTTTTAATATAAAGCTGTCAATTTAAACCTAATCCTCAAAACAAATTCAACTTTGAAGTACATTAAATTGAAAACTCATAATTTTTGAAAAGCAGCTTTGTAAGCACCATGAGTGCTACTTTCATGCATTAACGCTTTCCCTCCAACAGCCGCAAGTTCCGTTTGTTGCCTTGTCAGTTAATATCTGTTTCATTTAAATGTTTGAATTCTGTAGGTTTATGGCCCTGAAGCTACAATGACCGGAATTTGCAAGGAAGCTATCAATTGTGTCATGGCATCTGCATAGTTAAGCTTCCATATCCTCTTTCTGGTACCCATTCTCCTTTTAATAGATTGCAAGAGGAAGTAAGCTGAGGAGGTTTTGTTCAGGAATATTAATGATACTTCTAATGGCCTTTAAATTGGTTCACTGCTATAGACCAAATGTCTGCCATTCTCCGTATACTGTGTGCTTTGTTATTGCCATGTATCAAACTTTTTGTGTTGTATTTTCTTTCCAGGAATTAATTTCATATAATAATGTTATGTTCAGCCAAATACTCGATTCATAGGATATATGCATTTACATGCCTTTTTTAATTCAAGTAAGCATTGAAACTTGCATGAGTGAGTTCCTGAATTAAATCAAGCTGGAAAAATAAGTCAATTTTTGAAAATTTATGTTCTCTGTTTATTTTTCGAAAGAGATGATGAGCGTGGGTTGATATACCTACAGCTTTTCCCCAATCACTCTAGAAGGATTTTTAGTATTGTATCTCCTGGCAAAAAGAGAGGAAAATCTGGAATAACTATGACTGGCCTCTAGAATCAAACTAAAATGTAAGTTGGGGATGATATACCTACAACTCAATCACCGTAAGAAGGGTTAATTTTCATATCTTTCAGCAATAAAAGAGCGAAAAAAAACTAAAAGTATATATTTGACCTCTAGAATTTAAATTTTCTCTCTTAGTCAAAACCTGTATGACATGTTTAAAACCATATTATAATTCATTGGAATATAATTCTCCCGGCCCATCTAGATATTTACTATTTTTCATCGTAGGAGTCTCTTGATCCATATAGTAGATTGATACTAGAAGAGTTCACAACACTACGTCCTTTTCGAGTGACCTTCTTGTTTTCATTTTTTGTACTTTTTTCTTTGATATTCCTATAGTCATATTTTTTTCCTTGAAGCTGGTTTTTTGGTTTTAGCTCAATACTTTTTGTGACATAACAAGAGAAGATACGCCTATACGTTATGAGTTCAAAAAGGAGGATTGCATAAAGAGCCTTGTCTTTGCTCTACGAATCTTAGGCAAATGCACTGAAGTTAGGCTAAAAGCTTCACTTTGCGTTAAGCAAATGCACTGAAGTTAGGGCTACTTAAGACAGGAAATTATATCGTTCTTCATTATGTACTTCCCTATGAATTGGAACACTCACTAGTTCTTCCTGAATCAACCACATTAAAGGATACATCTTTGAGGTTGGTGGCATATTCATTGGGGATTGGGACTCAATGGTCAACTGATGGCAACATCCTACCTTACCTCATATTTTCTGTTGTTCCAGTGGAGGAATCAATTTACTGAGTCAGATTCTGATGCTGATCGGTTCATCTCTCTCTCACAAGTTACTCTTGCAGTACATATTTACGCCAACCATAAATCTCTTACATTTACTGTGTTAGGATTTGTAGCAGTATGTTCTCTCCCCTCCAACAGTCTGTTCAAACATGCTACCATATATGGAGAATTTCAAACCACAGTAGCCTGGTACACAATCCTAAAGATATGAAGGCAACCCAACACTAACAGAGTGTAGTCATCATAATGTAACTCTTGAAAGCTTTGTTGCTTCAAGCTGGCTAAAGTAAAGAAGCCTCATAAAGATAACACCAGACACCCATCCTCCCTTCAGTACTATAAGAATGGGACCAGGAGGACAACAATACAACACAATCCTTTGAAACTAAACCAGTTAAAGAGGTTAAGGTAGTAGAAAGACATGGAGCGGTCTGCTAAGATGATGCTAGTGCTTGCTCTTTTACTAGCTTCCTTTGTTCTCACCCTTGAAGGGAGGGAAATCAAGGACAAGGCTGAGCACCCTCAGAACTTCATTGGTTTTGGGGGCATTTTTGGTACACCGGTCGGGTTTGGGCTGCCGCTCATCGGCACAGTACCGGCCGTCGGCGGTGGAGCACCTATCATACCAAAAGGAGCAAAGGGAGATGAGAAGAATGCTGCAAAGCCGTGATAGAATGTGTTGTGATTCGCTTGGAGTTGGTTTTCACTAGGTAGCAAGTGTTTGTGTGTGTTATCTAGGTTGTGGGTTACGTTGTTGCCTGTGTCAGGGTAGCCTATGCCATAAGTTTCTCTTCAATCATGTTGTTTCGTTGAGTCTTGTGCTTGTTATCGGTGTCTTTATTACTGCTCTTTGCTAGTATTTTGGTGTCTTAGTGATGTCCAGTTTGTGGTTCAGTTTAGTCATGTAGATTGTAATTATCTATATGACAAACTCTTTGTTCTTGGACCACTGTTCATCTCTGTATCATTTTTCTGTTCGTGTTTGGGTGGTTAGGTAACATAGTTCTAGTATCTCAAGCTTTTGTGTAGTGCACTTCCTCGTTATGCAAGCTGCGCCTTGAATTGACGAAAATTCATTGAATCTGACATTATATACTTCAGCCTCATAACTTTTTGTGCTTGGTACCAAACATACCCATATTGCTCATATATATATATGAGATTAATGTGTATCCTTGTCATAGGAGGAGATTTCCTCCTATGACGCCTCTAAAATCACATGATTGAGCGACATTGTGGATGATCCGCTCCGTTGAACTTGATCTACATATTCTAAAACCCCAACACACCAAGTTTGGGGTGAACTCGTCGTCGTTTGACCCTCCATCGAGCCATGTGAAAAGTTCTATTCATTCAAAACCGTTAAAATTGATACGAGTGGATGAAGGGTCAAACAACGACGGGTTCACCCCAAACTTGGTGTGTTGGGGTTTTAGAATATGTAGATCAAGTTCAACGGAGCGGATCATCCACAATATCGCTTAATCATGTGATTTTAGAGGCGTCATAGGAGGAAATCCCCTCCTATGACAAGGATACCCATTAATCTCTATATATATTTGCACTGGCAGATAAAAGGTATATTTTGTGGGACACTGACAAGTAGCCCTTTTCTTTTGCTGAAACCGAAATTCTAGCGAGATCATTAAACTTGGGTTAAATGGGCTTACGGCTTACGTGGCTAAGGATTAGCATGATCTAAATAACGGTCATGAAATAAGGATTAACGGAATCTAAATAACAAGCATGGAACAATAAACTCCAACGCCCCCCACCTCCCCCCATCACCCCAAAAATAAAATAAAAATAAAAATAAAAAAACCAAAAGCTTTCTTCCCTCTATTCTTCTGTTCATGTGAGTGAGAAGACGAACCATGGCTACAAATACTTTACCCCATATATCTTTGCTAGATCGCTCCTCCTCCATGTAGATTTCACCCCATTGAGTCCTTGTTTGCTTCTTCTCGTGCTTATGCTTGAAACTGACCTTGAGCAAGAGCTTGAGGTTGAAGAATCTATCTTGAATTTCAGTCTCTCTAATCCAATTTAACCAAGGAGGAGGAAGAACACCCCCAATTTGATCTAATCTTTTGAGCCTTAATTTGAAAGGAAAAAAAATGCCCTTTCAGCTCAAATTAATAAGCCAACTACATACCATCTTTTGAAGCACATAGACACATGTCGAGTAATGTGACTTGATACACCGTAATTTTGGCTTCATCCAAAAAAAAGGGCTAGTTATCACCATTTACCATAGAATATACATTATTGTTGCCGGAGTAAGAACATATATCAACTTAATGCATATTGTTATCAAAATATATCAATCTAGTAATTTATCGGTTTTACACATTGTCTAAAACTTGTGTTATTGGAGGTGGTCTACATTCTATTTTTTATACTGTCTACAAACCAGAAATTAAGCTTCACAGTATGAAGGGGAAAGTATGCCCGTAAAAACCTGATTTTTTTAATTCTGTTTTAGGATTGTTTATATAATGTGAACATATCAAACAATGTGATTATATTCGAGGTGAACAATATTGCAATGTGAATGATGAAAGTATCTTCTGTTAGAAGATCATTATTTCTAGGGGAAAATGTGTCCAAGCCCCAAAAGTGGGAAACTCCATGTGACCCAGTCCCTTGTATTTTAGCTCGTGTGATTCAGTCTTAGAAAGTAGCATTTAATGTTTCAAGGTCCCTCCACGTCAGCAGTACAAAAAAAATTATATTTTGGAAAAAAAATCCCAAAATTGCCCCTCCACTTATCTTCCCCAGACGCCTATGGTTCCCAAAAACATGGAAAGTCGCGTCCCATTAATGTGATCTAGCGAAAAAAATGGAGGAAAATTTTCCTCCCTTTTTTAAACTCTATCATGAGCAATAACTCATGTTAGTTCTAACTTATTCCATTTTAGTTCTAACTTATTTCATGTTAGTTCTAATTCATGTTAAAGCTAACTTTAAGTGGAACTAACATTAATACTTTGGCTAGTTGGTCTAGTGGTAAAGCTTGTGAATTTGGAGAGGAGGTTAGGAGTTCAAACCCCTACACCTACAATAAATATTTAAGGTACCGTTTGGCAAAGGGTTAAGTGAGGGGTTAAGGAGACTTAAGCCATTCTTAACCTGCCAAACACAACAAATCTATATAAGGGTTAAAGTGAGTTAACCCTCCATAATTTGCCAAACATAAAAAATATAGAAGGGTTAAGTTAACCCCTCTAGAGGGGTTAAAATGAGTTAACCCCTCAAAATGAGGGGTTTACTAATACTCCTATTTAGATGGAATAAGAGTTAACCCTTCTAATTATAAAGAAAATAGTCAAAATTATTGTTATTCCCAAACATTAAAACTGATCATAAGGGCTAAAATAAAACTTATTTAACGGGTTAATAATTTAGTCCTTCGGATTATCAAATGGGCTAAGTACATTAATCCTTCTCTTTAACCTCTCTTCATTAACCCTTTGCCAAACGGGGCCTAAAGGTCTTTGATTAAGCCTTGGGCCTTGCTCTTGGGCTCTTTGTTAGTTCTAACTCATTTTATGTTGGTTCTAACTCACATAGGACTAACATGAAATCAGCTAAAACTAACACGAGAACCACTAGAACTATCGGGAGCTCAACTAGAACTAACGTTTATATTAAAAATAACACTAGCTGCAATTTAGAACTAACATGAAATCAGCTAAAACTAACACGAGAACCACTAGAACTAACATGAGCTCAACTAGAACTAACATACCACTAGAACTAGCGCTTATATTAAAAATAACACTAGTTGTAATTTAGAACTAACATGAAATCAGCTAGAACTAACACGAGAACCACTAGAACTAATAGAAGCTCAACTAGAACTAACATACCACTAGAACTAACACTTATATTAGAAATAACACTACCTGAAAGTTAGAACACTAGCTGCAATTTAGAACTAATATGACATCAGCTAGAACTAATACAAGAGCCACTAGAACTAACAGGGGCTCAACTAGAACTAAC